GGATGCCCTGGGCTCCTGAGAAAGTGAGGTTACGCCTGAGTCTGAAGTTGAGGGGAGTCACAAGTCAGAAAGGCTAACTAGGAGTTTTCTCTAGCTGGGTGTTGGCTGTTGCCTCTGAGGAAGCTGGGCGTTTTAAGACAGTTCAGGACCCTGCTGGGAGAGTCCAGGGGTAGAATAGCTCATTGCTGCTGCAGCTCACTTAGGTCTGATTCTTCAGTTTGGAAACCCTGCCCCAACCCATTTCCTGCTTACAGCCCAGCTCATATCCATAAGGCCAAGAACTACCCTAACACCCCTTTGTGACAGTGCTACGCCTTTGTGCAAGTCTCCGAGCCCAGATTCCTCTTGCCTTACCTCAGTACCTGTCCCCTCCACTGGGCTGTACTGGTCAGTATTTACTGCGGCGGGGGCGGGGGGGGGGAGAAAAAGAAAAGAAACGGATGCAAGCTGATGGCTGAGATTATCTGCCCTTCAGAATCACTGCCACTTCGATCAGGGACCACAGACATGGCACCCCAGCCCATCTGTCTGCCAGTGCGTGCCTTGGGCACAGGTGTTAGAAGTGCAGCTTTAATCTCTCACCACCTAGGCCCTGCCTAGGGATCTCCACTCAGTAATGGGCTGGTTGTGCTCGTGAGAAATCCCCCCCCCCTCCATAAGACCCTAACTGATTCATAGATTTTTTCCAACTCCTGAAAAGATAGCTGAGACATGTTCAAAGTCATATGATTGGCAGCGGGGGGTGGGGTTAGAGGTGGAAGAGTAAGGTTGGGTGGAGGGGGTCGTTCATTTTCATCCTGGACAAGCGTAGGCTGAACTGCAGTGTTATCAGACCAACAGTTAATAAGAATGGAGTTGCCCAAATGGAGTTCTTCAGCCCCAGCTTTGCTTTGAAAAGTATCTGAATGCAAGCATGGCCCTTTCTTACAGCTACAGTGGCGTTTCTTTTAATTAAACAGTCAAGTTAAAGGAAATTAGCATAGCTTTACATTATTACTCCCGAGTGTATCAGGGTGTGTGTGTGTGTGTGTGTGTGTGTGTGTGTGTGTAAGAGAAGCAAGGTCATGCTTTTGAATTTGAGACGTGACTAGAAAGAACTCCAGAGTGTTGGGATGAACAATAGCATTGTTTCCTTTTCCCACCCTACATTTAGTTGAAGAGGTAAAATTCTGTTGATTTTCTAATTAACCATTGGAAGGAGGTACAGAAGGAAGAAAGAATTTGAGATGTGAGGTTCACAAAACCGAAGGAGTAGCTGGCAGGAATCAAGTTTGGCTGAGCCTGTCTAACTTACTCAATCCCAACCCAGGATTCCTTTAGTCTAGGACCTTTGGATCCAAGCTTTTGTGGAGCTGAGAGAGTGGGAGGATGTTCTGTTTCCTCATGGGCTACCCTGTGAGCGGGGGCTAAGGATAAAATCAGGGACAAATGGAGGTGAATGGACTGTGTGTGGATAGGGCTAGAGGAGAGTGAAGAAGTGTGAGAGGAGATGATGGTTTTTTTAAAAGCTTGGGAGAGGAAGAAATAGAAGAATTGGAGAGACTGTGAATGGATGGATGCTGACTTGAGACTCATGGAAGACTTTTGCCATTGGTTTCCGCCTTCTTTGACCCTTCCCTTTCCTTGATTATGACCTTCTCTGGAGAACTCATTCATGTGCTGGTATCCTCCCTCATAAGACCTAACCCTGTACACACTTGATATGTGGAAATGGGACACAAAGAGCGGATCTAGTGATCCTGTGGAGTCACCAGCCACCAACCCTCCATTTAGGCCAATGGACAGGACAGGCAATGTTGCAGACCTGATCTCCCAGCAGCATCCTCCGCCTTCCTTGCTTCTTGCTCTGCTAACTCAACTCTGCCTTTCTCCTTCCTTCTACTCTGCCCGCACTCTGTATGGAGGACACACGGACACCAGGGGTTCCTTATTGAAGCCTGCCCCAGGTGTCAGGGGCATACAAGGCTTTGCAGCTGCAGAGGCAGAACCGAATTTCTCTGCACAGGATGGACTGCCTATGGGAACGGAAAACTATATTCCTTATATTCCTGCTTATATTGATGCTGTCTGTAAAAACCTTTCTGAGCCTCGTTCCTCTCAGCTGACCTTGTTTATGAGTTGTATTTATTTAGACTCTGCTTGACTGCTTTCCCATTCCCTCATTCATCCCTGCTAGCCCTCTGCTTCCTGAAACTGTTGTGTGTCATTAACTGTTGGATCAGCTCTCTGGGAAACGATTCTGTTGATGTAAGTGCACTTACTCCCTGGATGTTGTCACTAGTTAGTGGCTTTTGCTAAATAAACCTTTCTTATTTCTAAAAGCTTTTCCGTTGTCTCTACTTGCTTCTTCTATTTAACCTGCTTCTTCTGTCCCCTTCCCTTGCACCCACTTCCTAAGCTAGGTGTCATCAGCTCTGGGACACGATATAGAAAGAATCCATATTTCCTGGAGGGGAGGAGCCAGATGGGTCCTTGGTTGCAGGGATTATGAGCCAGCCCTACTGGGTTAGACAGTCTGCTGCTGTTAACTGGAAACAATTTTGCTTCCTTGGGAGACATTTGACAGTGTCTCAATGCTTTATCATTGCTCATACCTATGGGATGTATGGTTTTGGCATATAGAGGGTGGAAATCAGAGATCCTACCATACATAGGACAGCCTTGACAAAGAATTATCTAGTCCAAGGCCATTAAAACAGAGATTTTAATCCCCCAGCCTCCACCCAGTTTTTCAGACTCTTATGACCCCAAGTCTTTTCAGACTCCAGATACCATTAGAGTATGAGGGTAGTGGTAGTGAATTTATTAAAACACTATGTCATTGTTTCTCCTGTATCTAAGATCGGGACTATGCAATTTTACTGACTCCCGAACTCTGAGATTGCTATTTGGTAGTTGCCCCAAAGTGCCCATTCCAACCAAGTGCCATGCAGAGAACAAAACAAGTTCCTCCTCTTGTCTTCCCAGAAGTATTGCAGCGACAAGGATTCACTGGTAAATCCTGGCATGTGGGAGTATGGGCCTCACGGTACAGCCTTTACTTTTCTGACTTCCAAACACTGGGACTTTTGGCTTTGTTGAAGGCAGGCAGCTGTTAAGTCTGGTGCTTGTCAGGCCCTGGCCAGAGGCAAGACCGGGAAGGCCATTAACCAGGTTTATGTGCCCTCTAGTCTCCTCTGACAGTGAAATGAACTGGGCTGTTTCCTCACCTGTATACTGGGATGGTGCCTGCCATATGCAGCTTTCATGAGAGCATATGAGATCACATTATAAAGACCTCAGCAGAGGTAGCTAACACCCCTCCAGGGGACAGTACAGCATCTTAGTGCGCTTCCTCCTTCCCACACCTGTGCTGGTAGGTACAGGAACTGCTGGGCACCTTTTCCTATATTCTAAAACTACATGGGGCTTGGTCCTAGGTTATGGAGTTATGATGCCTCTTGGTATATTAAATGCAAAATGTTCAAGGCACCTTCCTGTCCCTGAGTAGTAATGAGCGCAGGGTGTGGTCCCTTCTCTAGCCCTGATGGCCGGTCTTCCTCTTGGCTGTTTGGGTCCTGTAATGCAGAGGTCCCATGGCAAGTAACATGAAGTTGGCAGCAGATTAGGATTCATTTCCCCAGGCAGTGGTGAACCCAAGAGGCCTCTCCTGTGTATGCGTCTCACTGTACCTGCTAAGGAGCCCTATCAAAGGGACATGCCACATATGTACAACCACACATGTTAAGATGCCACCCTCCAGCACTTGGTGGCTTTTCCAGTTAAGAAACACAGCGTGGGTGCTAGAAAGGCTCACCAGCTACATATATCCCTTGGGGGATGGTATCCAAGGAGTGATGTCAGGGTTGCCTAGAGACCACCTGGCTTCTGAGTGGCCAGGCTGTGGCCTGAAAATCCCAGCTCTTGAGCCTGACAGTCAAGACTCTGTACTCTTGCTGAGAAGGGAGGGCACAGAGAAAACCGTGAAAAGCAGGGCTTGATGAAGGGTCAGGGTTGCCCTTACAGTGTGTTATGTGATGGGGGTTTGAGCACAGCATTTCTCATGCTGGGGAAACATAAGAATCATGCATGCTATTTTGACCACACAATGATAAACAGAAGCTGCTCTGCTAAACCATAAAGTCAGGCTCCAGGAAGGGTCTTCGTGTATCATGGGAGAAACAAAGGAGGGACCTACACACACTGACCCACTCCTCAGGGAGACAAGGACTAAAACAATACCCAGTCCCCAAAAGGAAATGCCCAGTCTTCTTTCTGTTTCAGATTGGCAGAGAGGGTGGCCCTGAAATGGAGGCAGGACTGTCCACCTGTTACATTGTACGGGGACCGAATATAGTGTTACCACATGGTTGCTTACCTATTTTGACATGACTGAAAACAGCCATGGAAATATATCCCCTGGGATAAGCATAATTCTGTCTGCTTTAGCAAGAGGTACTCACTCTGAGTCGTAGTCATGGGATATGAGGTGGAGATAGCCCATACTCCTTGTCTCTTTCCTGACTTATGCTCGGAGTCCTGTGGTCCTCTCCAGAGGTATAAGTCCCTCAAAAGGTTAATATCTAAGACACCTTTCAAACTACAGGAATTCTTTCTCTGCCCTTTGTCCTCAGTGTGGGCAAGGACTGGTCCTATAGACCAGCACCCTGGAGCAATGGTTTCTTTCCATCTGAATTGCTTCAGAGTCATCATGGAGGCTGGTTATGGCACAGCTGGTCAGAATCTTTCCCTGGAGTTTCTGACCAAGTAGGTCTGAGTGGGATTTAAGAATTGTTTCACTTACTGATTTCCAAAGGAGGCCGCTACTGCGCGTCAGGGTACCTTGCTTTCATGGCGGCTTAGAGGATACTCTCAAACTTCAAGTACATATAGTGTTTATCTGGGGGTGGGGGAAACAGAGGTGGGTCTGGTGTTGTTAGGCAATCACTAATTGAAGATGATGAAGATCCTCTGGGTACCAAAAAGAGCAGATGATGGTGACCAGACTTAACCAAAGAAGATTATGACTAACTTCAATTTATTGGTACCTCTCCAGAGGCACAAGTAGGCTTCATCCCTGTTTACCTAAGGTGTCAACAGACTACTTGAAGGCCTAGCAACTACCCAAGGAAAGCCTATCTCCTGACCGGGCCTTCTGCTCCTTGCCGCAGAGAGTTTTGAGCTTGCGGTAGTACACCTTGCAGCTGAAACCCTCCTTGAAGCCCCCCTTGATGTGGCTCTTGAGGGAGTGCAAAGTAGGGTACATGCGGCAGCAGGCCGCACACTTGTAGCCATTCTGTTGGGCCGGGTGCCACTTGGAAGCCATTAGGATATCCTGGGACGTAATAGACTCCAACCCATGCTTGGATTTCCTGTTGACCTCCCTAGGGAATGTGTTCTCTTGGGAGGAGGAAGATGAGCAGACACTGTCAGTCCCATCCTCAATAAGGCAGTTGTCCCCTCTGCCGTCTTCCCAGTCCACCTCTGGGAACCCATAGGCCTCCAGGTGGCTCTCTTTGTCTGTGCATACGAAGTAGCTGTAAGGGGAAAACCAGGGCCGGTAGATGGTGCAGTTTCGCCTCAGCTGCTCCCCATTCTGGCTGTCCCTCAAGTCTGCAAAGAAAAGGGCAGGGTCTGAGTTTGGTGCTGAGGGAAGACTGAAATGTCTGGAGGCACTCAGGGGAAGCAGACAGACAGGCAGCCCCGACCTCAGGAGACCTGTGCTCCACCTTGGTGATGGCTGAGAGACCTCAGGTGGTGAGGGGGTGGGAAGAACAGCCCAAGACATCCATTCCTGCTGCATTCTTTTCCCACTGGGGAAAATAGCCACTGGCTGTCTGGGCTGGAGACAGAGCCTGCCCTGTGTAGAGACCTCTTGACTTCTGACCTCTAAGGATAGGCAAGGACAGGTAGACAGACCTCCGACATCTTAGAATCTTTCTGCCACCAATGATTTGCCACCAACTTGTCCGGTCTCGGTACCCATTCTAATCCTTCCATAGACTGCTCAGACAGAAACTGGCTCTCCACATGAGCTTGGCAGAGAGGACTGGGGAGGTCAGAAGCCTTCATGGACCTATGGGCCTCTTCTAAAGGAGGTGTGGGGGCGGGGGGGGGAGAGAGCACATGGTGAGTGGACTTGCAGACACCCTTCCCTTTGGGGTTCGGCTCCTGTCACTTTGTAGCTTCCCACATGGCCCTGTCCTGAATTGGATAAGGCCTCATCTGGAGAGACCACACACCCCATGCCAGAGAGCATTGCTTTGATACTGCGGGGGCAGGGCCTGAGCTGGGCTAGACGCCTCAGCAGGTACCTCTGTCTTTGCAATGTCTGGGTTACAGAAGAAACAGTGGTGAACTGAGCAAAATTGACAGTCCTCTTTAGGGGAACTTCCAATATATACTTTAGAGGCTCACCTTCTGTGTGCTTGAGGATTTGAAAACTAATGCAAAACAGTGACCTCTGAACTCAAACAAGCTGGCCTGTTCTAGGTGGTATCCCAGGAAGTCATAGATGGGGAAGTTTCTTCAGACCTAAGAAACATACTTTGGAAACCAGAATATAAGTTTTGGCCAGGCCGGCAACATCATGTCTAGCATGATTAAAGCCTTGGTTTCAAACTTTATTACTGGACTTGTCTCAGATGACACGTTTTCTCCTTGGTCCACACCTCACCTAATGTTCCTGCTTATCACATGTAGCCTAACTGCCAAGTGCGCATGAAGCTCTTGGTTTGACCTCCACTAGGTAGGTCTGGGAGAAAGTGGCTCTGCCTTGAACACGTGGCAGTGGCTGAGCTTTGAGGAGACGGATTTTAAACTATTCTCTGTGGAGGCAAGTGGATGTTTAAGAGAACTCCCACAGCAGTACAGCTCAATTCCAGCAAGCATGGGAATCTTGCTAGAATCCCTAGAGAATCTTGTTCTGAATCACTGCACCTGGGATGGAGACCTGGGAAGCTGCCTTTCTCGGCTTCCAAGATACTCACACTGAAGAGCCAGGATCACACTTCGGTTGACAAGTTCTCATGCGTCTCCCTTTGTTTCTCCCTGCGCTCATCAGTTAGCCTACTATTTGCCACTAATGTTTTTTTCTCCAATTTAAGACCAAGTTAATGGGAGGGCCTGCCCTCTATATAGACAGATCACCCACTTGAGATTTTGTATAGAAGCTACCTCTAAGGGAAAGAAATATGACCACAAATGCTTTTGCCCTCTGTCCCTTGCCAGAGATTATGAATCAACAAGATTTACCAGGAATGCAGTCTTTTGAAAACTTATATTCTCCCCTGACATTACTTGGCTTTCTCAACCAATCATGATCCTATAGCATGACCTGACAGGATCATGTTTTTCAAACAAAACTCCAATGAATTTAGTGAAGGGAATTCCACATCTTTATGGTCCTAGGGACTTGAGCATTTACCTGGCAAGCTGGTAGCAAGTGAGGACATGATATCAGGAAAAGTGCTCAGGGCAGAGGAAGAGATTCGCGGTCTAGAGATGCTGAGAAGTGAGAAACTCTCCATGTTCTGACCACCACGAGGTATGGCGGCCACACAGATGCTCCCCAGAAGCTAGTCAGATTGTCTAGGCAGTAAACATTCTGAAAGAAGCTGACATCACAAGGTCCCATGATTCCATTACGAGTTTAAAAGATAGATGTAGTGTTCTTGGATGCAAGACTTTGACCTTTTAAAAACTTAGCTATTTTTTTTTGTTTTCTTGTTTCTTTTTAACTTAAAATTTTTAATCGTTATACACAGGATTAGCTATCATTATAGAATTTTTTGAACAAAGTTGTATTTTAGTAGATTCTCCTCCCTTCTCCACCCCCTCTAACCACCCAACCTCCACAGCCTTCCCAACACCCTTCTGTTTTCACATACATGTGTCCATTTGTCCTCTCCACTTTCCTTAGCATCTCTTTTATTATTTCTGGGTCTCTTTTTCTAGTATTTTTTTTTGGTTCTTAACCACCCTGACACCCATCTATAAACATCACAAACTAGAATCTGCACCTAAAAAACGATGTCCAGTTTTTAATCTTTCTGAGTTGCGTCGCCTTGTTTAATATTATAATTTCCACGGGTGCTAGACTAATAAAACAGGGGACCTGGACATAAACTGGCAAAACTGTAGCCACCTAATTTTTGACAAAGGTGTCAAAAGCGTGCAATGGGGAAAAGACAAATGGTTCTAGCGAAACTGCATCTGTCTGCGAAGGAATACAGTCAGACCTCCTTCCTCCCGTGCAAAGGTGACTTCAGAGTAGATCAGAGACAATTACAACCCAGAAACGCTGTGATTGCTAGAGGAAACATAAATACACTTCAAGATTATAGCTATCATCGAGAGCTTTCTAAGCAGAACTCCAGTGACTCAGGAAATAGCCCCAGGATGGAACTGCATGAAATTAAAAAGTCACTGCTTTGCAAAAGAAACTCTCGATGGAGTGAACAGGTATCCACAGATGGAAGAAAGTCTCTGGCACCCATACTTCAGATGGGGGCTATTGGCCGGAATCTAGCTATCTGTCTTTCGTCCTTTCCTTTGCTTTCCTTTGCTTTCCTTTGCTTTCCTTTGCTTTCCTTTGCTTTCCTTTGCTTTCCTTTCCTTTCCTTTCCTTTCCTTTCCTTTCCTTCCTTTCCTTTCCTTTCCTTCTTTCCTTTCCTTTCCTTTCCCTTTCTTTCCTTCTTTCTTTCTTTCTTTTTTCCTTCCTTCATTCCTTCTCTTCCTTTCCTTCTTTTTCTCTTTCTTTCCTTCCTTCCTTCCTTCTCTTCCTTTCTTTTTCTATCTGTCTTCATTGTTGTTGTTGTTGTGTTTTTTGTTTGTTTTTGTCATTCCTCAGTGGCCCATCTTGGCTGAGAGTGCCCAGCCAGAAGAAAGACTATTGTAGAGCCGTGACAGTGGTGTCATTTGCCCCCTATTTTCTTTATGCGTGTCCCCGTTTCGGTGTTAACCTCCCCACGTGTTTCCACGTCTGGGACTCTCCGTCCTCAGGGAGTGACCACCTTGCTTTCCTTCTTTTTTGTTTTCCTAGCCTCTATCTCTACTCAGTGTTTTTGTTGTCTTGTTCTATTGGTTGTATTGTTTAGAACATGCTTTTTGATACACATTTGGGAAATAATTTTAATTTCTAAAATTTGCAAAACTTAAAATTAGTACAAAAACATCCATATGCTGTGTAGGTAGATTTTCCTGTTTTAACATTTTATCCCATTTGTGTTCAGTTCCCCTACCTGCCATAATTTGTGTGTATACACGTGTGTGTGCGCGTGTGTGTGTGTGTGCATGCGGGAGTGTATGCATGTGTGTGTGTTCGTGATTGGGGATGAAATCCAACGCTTTCTATATGCTGAGTAAGCAGTCTACCACTGAACAACATTCCCAGTCCTTAATATGTTTTGTTTATTTCTTTTCTGAACTATTTTGAGGTAAGTTATGCTATATATTTTTATTCCTAAACACTTCGACCTGTATTTCCTAAGGTTAGGAACCAGATATTGTTTCTAACTGCTGCTGCTCTTTTAGGCAAGTGGCTTCCTCCATCCTACTCCCCTCGTTGTAAGGCGGTGTGCTGATGAGACTGTGGACTCTAGGACCGCTTTGTCTCTCTCTGCCTTCCTTTCCTGTATAACAGCTTGGCGCCTTAGTAGGACGTAGAATAAGAGTAAAAGATAATTGTGACCCTTGGAAGAGAAGATTCAGGTGCCCCATTCTGGATCATCGAGGTCCATCAATTTAGATACACAGAATTGCTTTGGGTGTAAATGGCAATGTTTACACACTGACCACAAAAGAAAATCCCATCCTAAATTCCCAACTATGACCGTCTGTAGAAGCTGTCTGAGCATTTATTCCCAGCTACCTGAACATCTGAAGGAATGAGGGAACCTAATTTTCCTCCTGTCCCTCCCCATGGTTGGCTTAGACTGCTGGAATGTCGACAGTGTAAACCAAACTTTAATATTTTGGTGGCTCTGAAGTTGTTGACCATGTCATCTGGGTCACCATGGGGTCAGGTTACATGGTTTTGAATCCCCTTTTCCATCACAAAAGCCTCTGCCACTTGGCTTTTCTGCACTGTTTCTTCAGACTGAGTGAGAGTGTATGGATGGATGTCTTCCTGGCTACAATGTAGCAGTTTACATGTGAAAGGCGCATAGATGTGAGTTATATGCACAGGGTTCAAGTGACTTGGGAGTGTTTTTATTACAAACTAGGTACATAGAATTCTTGTAAAGGGGGCCCAATACGTCGGGAGGGAAGTTGGGAAGGCTGTAGTAGTGTCTTTGTTGTTTTGAAAACACGACCCTGTTTTGATTTAGCGACCAGAGAGTCTGTGGGAACTAGGACTTTCCATGGTTTGCTAAAAAGGTTTGTGGCATGGTCTTGTTCCTGTGTTGTTGCTGATGGCTCAAACAGGAGATACCTCTCTCACAGTGGTTGGTCACTACATAAATGTGTCTTTCTCTCATTTGTTCCCCACCTGCCTTTCGAGCCCTTTTCTCGGACAGGTAAGATCCCCTCTTCCTTGTGGATGATGTATTGCTTGACTATGTGCATGTAATGGGGTGTGACTGGGGGGGGCCTCCCCCGCTGGATCCAGTCATCTGCCATCCATGTTATTGTTCTCAGTCACCAAGACTGGGGCTGAAGGGATAGAGTGTGAGAGGGCCATTAGCTGGCTGTGGGGACGACAGAAGCCAGCTAGACAGAGAAGACAATGTTCCCAAGCCTGCACTCACAAGCGCCTGGAGCCGCTGCCACAGAGGGGCTTGAGTGCTTTCTGAGACTCTTCCCAAGTCTGGAGACAGCCTGAGCGACCGCTTCTATTATCAGCCCGTCATTGAGATGCAGGTTTCTTTTTTCATAATTTACATAAAAGGCAAATTCAATTAAACTAATTTATTAAATGCTTGTTGTTATGCAAGACCTTGTGGATAATGAAAGCACTCTAAGATCCTATAGCCCCTTTCAAGGGCATTTCCATTCGAGGAAAATTGAGGTAATGATAAAGAAATCATATAATAAATTCACTTTAAATAGCTGAGGAGTTTAGAATCTTTCACAGAGAAGTACAGAAAATCCAGATGGGGCATCATCTAAGTTGTTTGTTAAGGGTGTGCTTCAAAAGTATTACAAATCACACTGATGGGCAGTTTTAGGGTTTCCACCTTAAAAACTGGGTGTGTTTGCTCTAACAATATATAGAAACCACCAGAGAAATAGGAGGTCCGGGAGACAGTGGAGAACTTGCTGTTCCTATTACAACACCTATAGAACATTGCATACAATTCCTTTCTGTGCTCTGCACTTTCTGGATGGGGGCGGGGGAGAGGGATAGTGAAATTAGCTTCCAAATAACCTTGGCCAGCTTGTGGAGTGCCCGGGTAAATAAAATGAAAGGATTTAAGTCATGATAGGCAAATTAGGTCAAAGTGTATGACATGACAAGATACACTCTTAAGAAAATGGTCAGGAGCAGCTGTGGGGTAGGCTGAGAGCTGGGCCAGTGTACTGGGGGCACATCTGGAGTCCAAACAGCTGGGGACTTGTCTCAAATACCACCACACAGTAATTCCATCCTAGGAGCCCTGAGGAGCTGCCAGCCCATATTCCATGAGAAAATGTGTCCATGGTCAAGGCTACTCAGAGGTAAAGACCATGGAAGTCAACCATGGGTGAGAACTCCTCTCTTCTTCCCATGGCATTCTCCCTGCCACCCAGGGACCCTTCAAATACAAGTTATCTAGGTGACTGATCCAACTGGGGGGTCTGTCAACTCAAATCACAGAAAACAAAACATTCCCCCTGGTCTGAAACTCAGCAATTCAGGACAAATGAGACAGAACGTGAAGGCGTAGCCTCAGGCAATCTTAGGAAAGGCTTACTGAGATCGACCCTTAGCAGAATTATTGATAGTGACAGTCCAGGGACCACATGCAACCTCTCTTTGTCCAGTTAGACAATAAAGCTATAACAATAGTCATGGACAACTGAGGCTCCAAGTCTGACTCCTTTAATGACCTAGATGAATTTTCAGAGAGGATATGGATGCCTAGGTGTTAGCGTGTCCTGGGTTACTATTGCTGTGATGAAATACCGTGACCAAAGGCAAGTTGGGAAGGAAACGGTTTATTTAGCTTACACTTTCACATCCATAGACCATCACTGAAGGAAGTCAGAACAGGAGCCCAAACAGGGCAGGAACCTGGAAGCAGGAGCTGATACAGAGGCCGTGGAGGGATGCTGCTGGCTATGTTGCTCCCTGTGGCTTGCGACGCCTGCTTTTCCTAGAGAGCCCAGGACCACCAGCTCAGGGATGGCACCACCCACAATGGACTGGGCCCTCCTCCATCAGTCACTAATTAAGAAAGCGCTCTACAGGCTTGCTGAAGGTGTTGCCTTACGGAGATATTTTCTTAGTTGAGGCTCTCTCCTCTCTGATGGCTCTAGCCTCTGTTGAATTGACATAATATACAGCACCCAGTGTGAGAGCAGCATAGCAGAGAGCCTGGAGCTCTAACTGTCTCAACAACAGACCTCAGGGCTGCCGCCCTCTGACCCTTCCTCATGCTCCACTGGCCAAGTGGATTGGGGCAGTTCATTTGAGATACTCACTAGATACCTGCTGTGTACCAGGCCCACGCTTGGTGTTGAGGATATAAATGCAAAGATACATAATGTGTGGCCTCAGCCTTGGGAATGTTTACCACCCAGTAAACTAACCCTCACGCCAACTGTTCAAGCCATTCAGAGGTCCCAAGAGGAACATCTCCCATAGCCATTCCATGACCCAAGTAGAGGACAGAGCCCAAGACTCTGGCTTAGAAGGCCTGAGTTCTGATCCCAGCCGATCAATAGCTAGTATCATGATGTTGGGCCGCCGTTACTACTCTGAGCCTCTCCCTAGTCTAATGAACTTCTTTAGTTGGTTTTCATGGGGACATTGGTCCTTCACTGAAAGCAAGGCCCTGATTGGCTGCCTGGACTCTGTGTCTACAAGTTTACCTACTCTCCCAAGTTCCACTTCAGGAGACCTTAGTTGCTGCTGGCCCGTTTTCCATGGGGAGAATGTGTCACACATGTGTCTTTCAGTACGCAGCTCCCGACACAGAACCTGCGCCCAGTGTCTGAGAAGAGAGTGTAGCAAGTTCTCGCCCCAGTGCAAACCAGTTGCCTTTCATGTCTCATCTTCATTCTCTCTCTGCTTCAAAGGGTCTGGCGACCCCAAGGCCAAAGAGGTCAAACCATGAGTCAAGGAAGCTGGTTTCAAGGAATATGCTTGACTCTTTATGACTGGAGTCAGTTACTGATTGACCAGGGTGGGGAACAACTGGAATTTTTGGTCTCATGTCCTATCACAAGAAACTACCCTGGAAAGTTTAAAGGCATCTTTATGAGAAACTTCCAAACTTCTGTGAGTTGATAAGCGTTGCGTGTATTATAAAAGAAGGAAAGCCGAGTAACAAAGATGAGAGTCCCACTCCCCTCCGCTTACATGTCTCTCTTTTTCTTTGTTCATAGTTGACCACAGCATGTTTGAGAATCTGAACACAGCTCTCACTCCAAAGCTTCAGTCCAGCCGTTCCTTCCCGCACCTGTCCAGATCTGTGGCCCCAAACTCCATCACCCCTGGCTCTGCAGAGCCAGGAGGACCAGGACTGAGGGTGGGCAGCAGTCAGCACCTTAAGAACCTGGGCAAAGCCATGGGGGCCAAGGTCAATGACCTCCTGCGAAGAAAGGAGTCCTCAAGCCTGGGCAATGTGGGTGTGACGGAGATTAACAAGACCGCTGGGGCCCAGCTGGCTGGTGGGGAAGATGTGGCCTGTGGAACCTGGTTGGAGGATGAAAGGTGAGGCCTCTCAGTCTCCCATTATCCCACTTGAAGGGGTAGGAACATGGACAGAAGGAGAACAGACCCAAGGAGGGGATGAGCAATTGGCAAGGAAAATTGAGATAGACCTGTGTTCTTAAGAGCCCACTTCAGCCTCTGTAACCAGAGAAGCACTTCCTGCCTGGGTGTTATGGCCTTAGCTCTGCTTCACACTGTAACCCAGGCTAGCCTGAAGCTCACTTTCTGGCCCAAACTGACCTCCAATTCATGGCAGTTCTCCTGTCTTGGCCTTCTTGGGATTATAGATGTGAGCCATCATGGCAGGTTTAGATATATTTTCACTTGCAGATTACTCCAGTTCAGAGAGATGGCTGTGCCTCTCAGTTAGTATTAATTTGAAGCCTGGTATTTCCCAGAAACTCCCCACATGAGTTCTGATGCCAGCTATTCCTGAGAACTGTTGTTATAGACTGAGTGCCTGATAGGAAGGGAGAAACCAGCTGCTACGGCTACTTCCGTTTCCACCTAACAGCTCCTTTCTGGGCCTTGGTATAACACCTATATCAAGAGCTCGTGTGCCCTTTCACTAGGCCCGAGGGCTGGGAACTTTATCAAGCCTCACAGAGGCAGCACTTTTTGTAGCTCTGAGCACTGCATGAGGAGGGAAGAGCCCTGTAGCTAATTATGCTGAAGTTGCCAAAATCTGCACTCTAAACCCAGAATGAGCACTCAACAGAGGAAACACACACTGGAGAAAGACGAGAGAGGCAAGCTGAAGAAACAGCCAGAGTAGAGACTTGAGAATGTGTATAGATCGGTGTCTCAGCCATCATAAAGCCTGGGTGTTTATTGTCATGGTCTTGCAGGTCTGTCCAAGAAGCCTTCCCTCTACTGGATCCTCCACCTCCCATAACCCGGAAGCGAACCCCTCGGGCCCTGAAGACCACCCAGGACATGCTGATCTCATCGCAGCCTGTCCTAAGCAGTCTCGAATATGGGACGGAATTGTCACCTGAGCAGGCCCAGGACTCTCCCCCCACTGCTGGGACTGTCTCTGCAGATACCTCACGGCCAGAGTCTATCAGTGAAGTGGGAGATAGGGGAGAGGCTCTGCCTAACGGGGAGGTGTCCCTGTTGGTGCCTGACCTGATACACAAGAGCAACCAGGAGGAATCCAAGCTGAAAGCGAGCGAGTGCAGAAAAGCCTCCTCCCCTGCTCCCATTGAGAGGAACGGCCTCAAACTCAGCTTGAGCCCCATCAGCCTGGCCGAGTCCTGGGAGAACAACAGCCCACCTCCACAGGCACGGACCTCCAGCCTTGACAATGAGGGTCTTCACCCAGACCTGCTGTCCTTCGAGTAGGGCATCTTGTCTTCCCTGCTGAACATGTTCCTCACTGTGTCCTCCACTGCACACAGGTCCTTTGTCCCAGCTCTGCCACGCCCTCATCTTCCTTGTGGAAGGCAGAGCAGAGCCCCCTCTCTACCCGAGGGGTTGCGGGACCAGATGGCCACAAGTAGTCCCAGTTAAGGAGTCTGCAGAATGGCAAAGGATGTGGGCGGCCTCTCCGAGCCTACTTCTCTGTAAGAGCTTCTGGCTGCTGCTGGGACTCATTCACTCTCAGGCTTGCCCCAGCTTCCTACTGAATTACAGGGCCACCAGCCTAGGAGGATGGGTCTGGCAGGAATTCTCTTTGCCTGTCAGATCAGATATGCTATCTGTTCTTTCATCCCCACCCCAATCCCTGATTCTGCCCCTTTCATCCGTAATGGTGCCAGGACTTGATGGCAATACTGCTAGGGAAGAATGGTAGGTTTGGCTTGATGATGGGATCAGGCCTGACTACAACCTTATCATAGAATAGCTCCTTCAGTCTCTAGGCCATCTGGACCCCTAGCCACCATCTTTCCTCTGTTTCTGGGTTAGGGCTAGAGGAGGTTCTTCCCAGGCTTGGGGCCTTGAGGACTACCTCACAGGTTGAACCTTGTCACCAGGGTCCCCAGGGTTTTCATCCAGTTAGATGTAGCCCCACCTCTCTGGATAGATACTTAGGAAAATGGTAGGGGCAGTTGTGCTGGGGTTTCTTACTGTGTGTGTGTGAAGATGGGGGTGGGCAGGCCCCTGCAGAAGCAGCAGAGAGTGTTCTGATGTTCAAAAGGAGAGCTTAGGAACATGGACTGGGCCTACAAGAGCCAAGAGCAGAGATCACAGAGAAGAGTGAAGTCAGGACTGAGAAGAGGATCACTGAGAATCAGGGCAGCTTCTCAGGCCACTCCACACCCAGGAGAAGGCAGTGCCGGGGCCTGGGAAGAGTGTGTGTGGGAGCCAGGGTGGAGCATGTGAGAGACTGGAATGTGCTGAGGGTTGTGGAGGCAAAGCAGATGCTGGTAAGTGAGTGTGCTGCTTCATGCTTGTGCTGAGGTTGCCTAAATTTCCTGCAGCCCCAGGCCTGCCCAGAGATACCCAAGCTGTTGTCCTCTATCCAAGTAAGAGCGATCTTCCTCTGCTTCTGCCCGCAGGATCTGGGTAAGGAACCAACAAGGCTTATCAACCCTTGACCAGCTCCTGCCTTCCAGGTTAACTTGCTTTGTATTCCTTTCTCCCTCCAGGGGCCCTATCGTGCTGTCTTCCCGTGGCCTGGAGGCTCTGTAGTAACCCCAGCCACAAGGGTCTTTGTAGCCAGAAGAGAACATCCCTATTCTTGAACAAGGAGGTCAGAGCCCCACAAGAAGGCTGGGGATGGTGCATCGAGCCAGGGCAGGCCATGTAGCAGTTTTCTCTACTCTCTGTGGTCCTCCCTTTTCCGCTTGCTTTGCTTCACATCTGTGAGATTGGACACATGGGTCTCACTTCCCAGTTCAACATCACCAATGGGCTGCCCTCCTCCCAACCAACAGAGATCTGAGCTAACTCCTGCAGAACCAGAAGAGGAGTCCTCAGCAGGATCCCTGGGATGAGGTTTCCCTTCTCAAATACTTGCTTACTACAGCTGTATGGCTTCAGCCATCTCTTCCCTCTGACCCATCCCATGCTCCCTACAAAGTCTTATCTTTTCCTCTCAGATAAGAACCCATGTAGCCAGGCATCTGAAGGCCCTGGTGGGGTTTACAGGACTGTTAACACATAAGTAGCACGTGTGCCTTGCTTCAAGAACATCCCAAAGTTGTGATATCTGACCCTGAAGTCAGAGAAGTCCTTAGAACTACCATTTGAGGACCTATGAATTTTCCCAGAATAATTTGTGATTATCCAAAACAGATATTTCAGGCTGTGGGGTGGGAAGTCTAAGCATGCGCCAGAAAGCAAGTCCAGTGTAATCTGAGCTCTCCATTCCAGAATCTTGGTTTGTTCCTCTGATGAGAAGCTCAGCCAGTAGCTGCCCAATGGAGCTGTTCCTCCCACGAAGTGATAAGGTTGCCTAAGACCAACAACATGAGGCTTGGCTTGCCTAAGCACTCAGGCTACTGCTGGAGTCCTGGCCCTCGGGCCCAGGATTAGCCCAGAGATCCTACCATATTGTCCCAAGACCCCTGTAAAGGAAACTTCCGAGAACTTTAGATGGTGTTTGATGTTGAATTAGGTGCCATGGATGTCTACACAACTCCTAGGGGCTTGGCCATCTCCCTGCTACAGAAGTGATGCTGCTACCTCAGGAGGTCATTTGAGACTGAGCCTTGTCTTAGATGCTGCAGATATGGCCTGGTGCTAGGGGCTACGTGCTTCCCAGGGACCAGCAGGAACAAATCCTCTTGAGGGCTTTGACTTACACCAGTTCTTCCATCTAGGGCCGCGACAGGCTCGCCAACCATCTCAGCAGTCTGGTCTGCAGCACGGCAGCCTTCACCATGCATCAAGATCCCCTGGTGGCTTAGTTTTTGCGTAGCTTGATCTGCATGGGGGTGAGGGTGGGCTAATGGAGAAGAAAGAAGGATATGATTTCTATATTTAAAGAAACTGGGGTCTTGGAGCCTTTTCTTCCACTTCTTTCAAGCCCCATCATATACCCCTATTCAGCCCATAACTTTACCCTGGTAGAGCGATCACAAAATAAGCTTCCAAAAGCCTGGAGAGAAGGTATCTCCTCCCCTGTCCCAGCCCACTCTTCTCTCTAGAAATGTATCTGTGAATGTTCTGTATCTGGGAGATATGAAGACATGTGTTTCGAATCCATCATCTTTTACAGAGCAGGGTTGGTCCCTGTTTGGAAGAACAAGATTATAGTTCTATTCTGGGTATTTTTTTAGAGAGTTCATATTTATATTTTTAGAGATTTTTGTCTTGTAGAAGGAAATTACATAATAAAATGGTAACGTGTTTTGCTGGCTTGTCTCTTTTCCTCCTGACTAGTGGAAAATTCTGGAGTCCTGGGCTCCTGGGGGCTCCCTGGGCAGGTGCAGAACCATGAAATTTTGCTTTGCAAACCTGCAAGATGGAGGGATGAGGGAGCTGGAAGCGATGATGAAGGAGGCTACTGCAAACAAACCTCCAGCTTGAGACTGTTAGAGTAACGAGGATGCGTTTAGTTCTGTGCCACTGATTGGCTGACTGCTGTAAGGGTCTCCACTGTGACTTTACTGGACCACAACATGATCTATACATGTCCAGCCCTTCTTGCAGGGAAGCTGTAAGGAAACTCAGATGCCCATTGAATCCTTCTTGAAGGTCTCACCCTAGGCTCTGCAGCCTGCTTTCATCTCAGAGGGATGGAGTGACATGTTTGTGTGCACACTCTCCACAGAGGCCAGAGCAGCTCCTCACAGGGTGTTAGTTAGCATCAGCAACTAGCAGAGAAATACTCAGAGCTGTCGACTTGGGGGAAATTGCTTTCCCATGGCTGCTCTGGACTTAGACGGCCCTTGGTGACATTTGCTGACGTCATGAACAAGAGCTGGGGTGGAGTCCCTGTGCCATTACTGCTGCCAGATGTCAAGGTTCAGAGGACTCATGCTCTAGAAGCAGTTCTCAACCTGTGGGTCGTGACTTTGGGGTTGAACAACCCTTTTCACAAGGGGTCACCTAAGACCAATAGAGAGCACAGATATTTCTATTATGATGCCTAATAGTTGCAAAATTAGAGTTATGAAGTAGCAATGAAAGTCATTTTATGGTTCCACACCATGAGGAACTGTGTTAAAGGGTCGCAGCATCAGGAAGGTTGGGAACCAGTGCTTTAGAGAGTCAAGCCTTTGATTTCCTCAGAAGGAAGACAGTAGAGAGGAAAAAGGGAAGGGAGGGAAAGGGGCTTCCACTGCGTTCACACATTACCAGAGGGAAAAGATAGAGGCCTTTTTGTCCAGACCTTTCATTCGCTGCCGTGACTAAACCCGGGTTTGGAGTCTATGGTCCAGTCTGTTGAGGCTCCCTGGTTCTATGTCAGGAGCATCTCTACATGAAGTGAAGGCTCTGACCTTTTCTGCATCTCATTGTGTTTTCTCAGAGGGAACAAAGAAGAGAAAAACTGAGTTTTCTAAGCGAGCTTGCTTGCCCCATTGTGGGGCACAGCTATATTATCCCAAGAAAACAGGGGTAACACAAAAACCAACCCAGCGGTATTCCATGCATGGGAAAATGCATTGAAAATGCTTACAATAGCAACATTTTTCTTTAAGCGTGTGCTCCGGTGACCATTCTTTAGGTGACCTCTCCCGTTGGATGGTTTTGGGATCTGCTTCTGTCATCAATTCAAGTGTGAAAGTTGCCTGTTATGAGCCCTTCTTTCCCACTGCTGTGCAAAGTTGTTGGGTTTCTTTGGTTTGGGTTGGGTTTTTGTGGTTGTTTTTTTGCCTATAGTCAAGTATGCAGAAATGGTTATGAAAAGGGTTTTGGGAAATTTTAAGTGTGGAAGTGGATGTGCACGTGACCCTTTTTCCATCCTATCTTCTAAGGTGAACCACTGGTCTAGAAACTACAGGGACAAAGACTGCACTTTTATCTGGACACGGATGCTAATGTCTTAGAGCACGGCAGAGCCACCAGCAGGCCAGTCATTTCGACTGTAGGAATGTCCGTTTCCTCCGGGTTTACAGCGATTGCTAAGGGACATGGTAGTCTACTGGAGGGCCCAAAGAACTCTTTGTTGTTCCCAGGGTCTGTGCAATGCTGGTGGGGAACCCCAGCTGATATTCAAATGCAATGGAATTAACACTTCTAAACAGCCCCAGATGCTGTCCCAAACTCAGAGAATTCCTTCTTGGTCAGTTTGTTCATCAATTTTGGAACCCCCCTGAGGTGTGGGGGTGCTAGGAATGCTCAGGAGAGTTGTAGGCTTCCACTGCCTCTTCGTTCCCTGCCATGCCACACCTCTGAGTTTCCCAATTTAGCCTGGCTGTAATGATTATCTCTAAGATTTTGACCCTTGGGATCCCTTAGATTCCCTCAGTAGTGGTCCCCAAACCCTCCCAGCCCCCGAGGTTTAGGGTGCCTCACAGGGAACACCCCCTACCATGGCTCTCCTGGAAGTAGGGACAAGTACAGATGGCTCCTATGGGCAGACTCTCTACCTCCCTAAGTACCAATGGCATGTCTGCTCTTCATCTCCCAAGAAAGCTTGCTTAGGAAACTCCCAGTTGTCCAGTGGAAGTCCTGTGGTGGTCTTCCTCCCCCCCACCCCCTGTGCAGAGAGCCTTCCTCTTTGCTGCCATCTGCACCGGGGGCACCTGGAAAGCCCAGACTTCCGACTAATGAGAAAATTCCTCCACTTTCCGTATCTAGGGACCGACCCTCCTGAGACACAAGGCTTTGTGTCCAGCTTATCTCCAGCTGCTGCCATGATGAATAGGCCAGCTCAGGGGAGCCTGGGGCAGCTCTGCCCCCAGGAAACTTGGTTATTAATACCGACAGGGAAACAGTCCTGAAGAAATATTTAAGGACCAACTCAAATACAGCAGACTGCATTCTCTCTCGTGGGAGTTGCTAAAGATTTATGTTGGTTGCATGGCACAGGAAACGTGGCTTGTGTTTTCCTTTGCTCTAGGAAAAGAAAAAGGCCTACAAATAAAACGTACCAACAAACTGTAGCTCCCCACCCCTTTGGACTGTTTCAACAGTGAGCTGTTTCCAGTGCCATCTGCTTAGCTACCTTCTTTCTTAAAACAGCCCTCCATTTGCCACCTTATCTCTCCTAAACTTGTGCTGCTTATGTAATTCTAGCTGGCTCGATCTGATGTTCGAGCACATCCAAGTGTTCAGCCCACACTGTGGGCCAACCCACAACTCCCAGGAGGTTTAGGATGGTCCCAACCACTGAAGGATAACAAAGGGAGCTTTGTGGACTTCTGTGGCCAAGGGAAGTAAATTCCACCAGCCCTGTGAAGGGCTCGAGACTCAAGCACCATTGATGAGCTCCCTATACCTGCAATGGGCAGACCCAGTCAGCTCATGGTTCTGGGTAAACTCTGTTCCAGTTAGTCTTGCTGGCCCCGCTCAGTCTCCGGTCCTCTGTCTGGAAGAGTCAGCAGAGCTGGAGAATGCTCTGGAGTCAGTGAGGTTTGTCTGGGAGCTGTATCATTTAGAGATGCGGTTTTAGTCTGTGGGGGTGGGGATGGGGTGACTGTGTGCATTACAGCTTAACGGGAAGAGGGGGCTCAGGGGCCTTGGCCAAGCCTTTATCAACCCGTGACTGTGGGTAGCAAATGCTGCGACCAGGCCTGGGCCCCTATTGTGAAGCCTGCGGTGAGCTGTCAGATGGTTCTCTGCCAGGCCCCAACCTAGCTCCGCTTCCAGGTTCTTATACCACCATTCCATCTCTTCCCCAGAACCTTCCTTTCCTGATCCGGTCAGGCTGTGGTAATTCATCCTTCACTTCTCCACTGGGGCTTTTCCCTTCCGCTAGGCTTCCTGCCCTGACAACACCCTGTTGCGCTTTGAATGTGAAATAATGTGTTCCAAGCCAGACTGATTTATCTTCCCAAATAGGACCAATAGCTGGGGACCCACGTATTCTAATATTTAAATGTGGAGAATATTTACATTCACAACACACGCCCTCTGACCCCCCCCCCCACATTTTTGATCATGTGTCTCCTGTGTGGTTTGCAGGGCAGTGGAGCCTTCTGTGCCTCTCTACAAGTCTCTGAGCACTTGGGGGCAAGCAGGGGTCATACCATCTTCATATATGACTCCTCAATTCCCACACAGCACCTGGCATGTTGCAGGGACCTGGGAAAGACATGCATGAAAGGAGCTAAACTCAAGGAATTTGTGGTTTGATCTGTGTGGGGCAGATGAGATGAACTTACCTGGGTTTAGAGTAGACTCATGCTGCTGCTTCAGGTTGGCTGTCTTCCTCAGTGTCTCTGTCTAGAGCAAGCCTTTCTGGGCCAGGTTGGTCACTGCGCAGTGGACTATGGGAGGCCATACTCAAAATGGAAACTGACCAATGGGCCAGTGAGGAGCTCATTTTTGTCCATCCAGAGCCTTCACTAACTCTGCTCCCTGGATGGACGGGTGCCACCTTGCCACAGGGTACCCAGAAACATACTGATACTCAGTCTAAGGCAGGAATGCTAGGTACCTATTGATGCCAGATAGATGCTTACCCCTGAGCTCCAGTTCTTAGTACTCCTCTTTGCCATTCTAGGCACTCATGGGAGATTCATCGTGTTCTCCAAAGCTTCTGAGGAGTCCAGCGATCGTTCTGATCAATTTGCACACACCATCTCATATGCTTTTCTCAGGAACACTGCATAGGCAATCTCAGGAAGCCCATTTTTCAGGCACGTAATCTTTTACCATGTTCAGAAAGATCCACACATGAATCTGTTAATTCTCATATCCTGAGAGGGGTATTTCAGCAACACTGCGGGATGGGGGAATGAACCTTACAACTGATGAAAAGCAGAATGAATCCCGAAGGCCGAGGCTTTCAGACTGGGGGATCGCTCCCCTACCCTGCCACCCACAGCTCTGTGTGCTTCCATCACACCAGCGAATAAGAAGTCCGGGAACTAGTCATGGCCCAGAAATATCTGTTTTAGTTTGACCTTTTCTAAGGATAAATGCAATTTCCCTGAACACTGAATATTCTATTTAGTATGGGAATTTAGAGACCCTCTCCTCTGCCCCTTGTTTTCCAGAAGAAGAATCAGCAGACCGCATTTTGAAACCAGAGCAAGGAAGAAGTCTCATAGAATTGCAGTGGTGGCGCATGCTTTATCCCTGTCCTGGAAGGCAGAGGTAGGCGGATCTCTGTGAGCTCGAGGCCAGCCTTCACTACAGAGTGAGTTCCAGGACAACTGGGGCTGTTACATAGAGAAACCCTGCCTTGATCCACCACCCCCCCCCCAAAAAAAAAGAAAGAGAAAGAAAGAAAAAAAAAAG